CACCAGTACCACCACCACCACCAGTAAGATCATCACCATCACCCCTGTCACCAGTACCACCACCACCAGTAAGATCATCACCATCACCCCTGTCACCAGTACCACCACCACCTTCATCACCATCACTCCTGTGCTCGCCACCGTTGTCCTCGACATTATCAGCAGCAGCAGCTCCATCAGCATCACCGTCATGACAACCATCATTACTATGGTCACCACCAGCACTGTGATCGTCACCAGCATCACCCTCAATATCACCCGCATGACTCCCATCATTACTGTTGTCACCACCATCACGCTCGTCGCTGTCCTTACTATCCTGATTACCACCAGTACTATCATCACCCTCAATATCACCGTCATGACGCCCATCACCATCACCATCACAGCACTGTCTCGCCATCACTCCCATCAGGATCTGCGGCATTGCCATCACTGCCTTGGTACTCGTAGAACTCTCGTGGACTGAGTTTGTACACATCGTGATGGCCCAGCTCTGAGTCAGAGTTGGGACTGGTTGGGGGCTATGAAGGGAGTTAGATTTCCACCTCCCAAACCAAATCATCTGCCAGCGCTGGCAGAGACCCACCGTCCCACCCCGGGGAAGGTAGTGCCCTGGTCACTGGAGTCGGCCTCAGATAAGGGGACATGAGACCGGCACCACCCAGCCTGTGGGGCGCCCCGCACAGTCAGGCATGGCGGAGCCTCGGCCAGTGGCATCTGTCATCCGTGTTGGTCTAAGGCCAGAACGGGGGCCCTACTGACGCATCCCCTAAGAGCAGGTGACTTCGGAGGGAGGTGGAGGTGTGCAGGGTAGGGTGGAGCCTCAATGACAGCAGAAGGGGCCTCCATTGAGTGGAGAGACCACACAGGCGTGCCACTCCTCCATCTGGGACCCACCTGGCACGTCCCTCGCCTTGCTGTCTGCTTTCTCTAGAGTGGGGATGAGTGGGGGACAGGAAGACGGAGGTAGAACCTTGCCAGTGGTCACCTGGGTGTGTGGCACAGGGCCTCTGGCTCACACATTCAACAGGTGTGTCCAGGGCATGTGGGGAGGAGGATGGGCCTGGGGCTCGGGGACAAGTTGGTGATGGGCGGTGGGCTGGTTCTCAGGACATGCACTGTCTGCAGGGCGAGTGGGAGCTGGTGGACTTGGGGCCTGGACACTCACCCTGCCCCTCCCTGAACCACGTCACCTCCTGCACTGCACCCTGGGAGGGCCCACTTGGGACACTGCATGGTGGTGAAGTGTCCCTGGCCATCAGAGGAGATCGGACATGCTTGGGAAGGAGGCCTTTCCCCAGGGACATGCTCAGACCTTCCTCTGGGGGATGTCCCCAAGGAGGAGCTTGTCCAGCTTCTGAATGAGTACCCCTCACAGTCAATAACCCCAGGAACCCCCAAATTGTGTGCAGCCTGACAACAAGGCACATCTCTGAGGGGGAAGCCCCTGACCAAGCCCTCCTGACGTGGGCTGCACTCTGGACTGGTCGGGGAGAGAGGGCTGCTCCCCCGTTGTGGGCTTTACAGACTCTAAATCACCCTGCCCTGCCCTCCTGGGACCTCAGCCAGCTGAGACTAGGATCCAGGGCTAGCTTTAGATTAGACAATAAAGCTAGAGTGGTAGACATGTCATGGCCATGCCTGGTTGACTCTCAGAGACACCCATCCACCCCAGGGTCAGAAAGACCCTACCAGCCACCATGCTGACAGCCAGAGGGACAGGCTGTGCTAGGACTACATGGCCTGTCATCCAGCAGGTGGGCCGGGTTCCAATAAAACTTTGTTTGCAAAAGCAGGTGGTACTGGCTGTCGCTTGACATGCTCAACTCCAGACCAGTCACATCTCTCATGCATGTCAGCAAGCCTGGGCCCCTATCCTGGAACCGAGATTCTCTTTTGTTAGAACAAGTTGCATGTGGCCCGCCAAGTGAAATAAAGTTCCCTTCCCCTGACCCTGGGCTACAGGGGGTTCTCGGGAGAGGTCTGCACACTTCCCTGGAGCTCAGGCCACCCCACCGCCCACACACACACACACAATGGCCCATGGAAAGACACTCGGAGTCAGGTAGCAGGCCTGAGACACAGGAACCCCCACTGCACTCTGCCCATGAGACCCCACCCTCCCTGTCCCCACCTAGCCCCCAGCCCAAGGGTGCTGCTCAGCCATGCTCAGTCCCCACGCTCCCCGCAGCTCCTAACCCAAGCTGACAGCCACCATCTCTGTCTTCCAGGTGCCCATCCTCATCCCGTGCCACCGGGTGGTGGGCAGCGGAGGCAAGCTGGGCGGCTACTCCAGCGGACTGGCTGTGAAGCAGTGGCTGCTGGCCCACGAGAAGGGTGCAGGGCCCCACCAGGGGACAAGGACAGATGCAACCCCCACCCGAGCTGGGCACCAGGAGGCGCCAACCCAAGCGGAGTACATGAAATCGGGATGACCAGAGTGGCCGGGAGTGCGGGTGTCCCTGATTAAAGCCCAGCGTCCTGGCAGCACAGCTGGTCTCCTCTTTCTTGGTCAGGTCTGGGGTGAGGAGGCGCTTCGGACAAAGAAGGATCAGTGAGGTCTCCTCGCTCTTTCCTCTGGGGATCCTGCACCCCCACCCCACGGCTGGCCTCCCAGAGGGTGCTGCTGTTAGCAGGCTCTTGTGCCTCCTTCCCAGTGGCTGGAGAAGCTCCCCAGTGGTCAAGCTGTGGGCTGCTAACAGCCGAAAGGTCAGCAGTTCAAGCCCAGTCATTGACTCCATGGATCTGTGACCTAGCAGCAGCCATGGGAGACCCTCTGGGGCAGTCCTGCAGAGTCCCACGGTGGCACTATGAGGTGGCATTGACCTGAGGGCACCCAGCCATGCCAACTTGAGCCCAGCTGCTCCTGGTCTATGCTGAGTGGCCAGGGGCCAGAGGAATCAGGAACAGCGTAGCTCTGGGCGGATGCAGGCCTGGCTGCCCTATTGCCCTCCTGGGTGGGAGCCTGGCCCGGCCTAGCCTCTCTCCTGGGCTCCTCGGGGTGACCGCTCTGGGCCAGAGGTGGCAGAACACAGACCCTCCTCCCCCCAGGGGCCTGCCGCCCTCACAGCCCCACACCATACGGGCCACAAAGGTGAGTTAGCATGTGCTGGTGGCAGGGGGGCGTGGCCAACATCAGCTGCCACCACAATGTGACACTTCATTATCTCACTGTCACTTTAGCCTTGTAATTAACTCTCTCCGAAAAGCAGATGGGGAACTTGTAGCTGTGCGCAGATAAATAAAATAGAGCGCTTGATATACGGGGAAATCAACCATCCCCAACTGCGCCGGCGACGCCATATTTCTACCGAGGGTTCCTGGTGACAATCTAACCGCAGCAGGGGCTCCAGTGGCCTGTGTGTGTCACCGGGAACCTGGGGCGAAGATGCGCGGCTCGGTGTATTTAATCGTCTGTATGGTTGTGACACCAGCCACGGATGTGACGGGGCGCCGGGCTCCTCGCTAATTTACATCTTGGGGCTATTCCTCCAGCAGCCGCTTAGCTCCAGGTTGCTTTCCCTGAAAAAGAGGGGCTAGAACCCCAGTCCGCGGAGAGGGGCTTCTGCAGCTGACTCACCCAGGGCCCTGCACTCCATGTCTGCACCCGGGGAGGAAGACCCAGGCACAGTCTAACTGCGTGTCCTGAGCGTGCACAGTCTCAGCTGACACCCCCGCCCTAAGCGTGCACAGTCTCCACCGACACCCCCCGCCCTGAGCGTGCACAAGTCTCTGCCGACACCCCCGCCCAGCGGGCACAGTCTCAGCTGACATCTGCCCTAAGTGTACACAGTCTCACTGACAACCCCCCCTGAGTGTGTACAGTCTTGGCTGACACCCAGCCCAGGGTGTGCAAATCTGAGCTGGCACCCCACCCTGGGTGTGCACAATCTCTCCCACCTGGCAGACTTAGTCCCAAGAGCCAGGGTGAATGGCTATGTTCATGGGGTGATGGCAGAAACATCTGGAATACTTGTGGGGTGCCGGGGCGGAGGGTCTGCCGTCCATCCCAAGAGCAGTGCTCCCTTGCCAGAGCTGAAGATCCCTGAGCTAGGAAGCCACCTGCACCCTCCTGTAGAGCAAAGACTTGGCTTTCAGAAGGCAAGGCTCAGGCCTCTGTGGCCGGAAGTGTCCTGTCTGTATGTCATCCCCAACAGAGGGCAGCCTCGCACAGAGCTGGCCCCGAAGCTGCTGCAAGAGGCACCCCCACTGCCAAGGGGGACCTGCCATGGGAATGGGGCAACTAGGGCACCTCAGGACTGGGCCAGTCCGCAGAGCACAGATCTCTGCCCCTCTGAGCATGTCCACAACGCCCCACACCCGGTCACCCTCCTGAGCCTGGACACCTGAGCCCTTTGGTAGAAGGCAGGGTCACGACCCCAGCTAGGCTTCAGGGGTACTGGGGCCTGTGACCCAGCTGCTGTCTCCCTGTGGGCACTGAGACCCACAGCCCAGCTTGAATGGGGACCCCACGGAGGTCGTGAGGGTGCTCAGCTGAAAGTAACTACACGCCTGACTCTGCCTGAGGGCTCCCAGCCCCGCTAGCCAGGGCAGTGTGTCCCTAAGGTCCCCAGCAGTGATTTCACCTGCATGGCCCTGGGGGTGGACGAGCCCAGCAGCCAGGGATAAGGATGGGAGGGAGAGGAGCTGTCCGAGCAAAATGCCAGGGGCACAAGGGGACCATGTCCTCCAGCCGCAGGCCCCTCTCATCCTGTGCCCATCCAGCCAGGTGCTCAGAGCCCAGGCAGGACCCTGGCAGCTGCCTCCAGCCCACATCCCAGGAGGTGGTAATGTCAGGCTCAGAGACAGTATTTGTTTTTGCAGAACCAACCTTGAAATAGGTGCCCTTGAGCTCAGACGGCCTCGCCCTGTGTGGGTCCCTCTCCCCGCTGCCTCCCATCAGGAGCAGAGGCACTAAGTCAACTCACCTGGTTTCGCCGTTTCCTGCTGCCACACTCAGGCCGTCCCGCAAAGCCAAGTTCTTTATGCGGAGGAGCAGCAGCATCCTGGCCGTGGGGGGCTCCGCACGCTGAACAGCCATCCCTCGTACAACAGTGCCCGGTCCCGCTCCATCCCCAGAAGGTTTGAGCCCATTGTTGCGCCTGTGTCTGCCCATCTCATTGAAAGGCTTCCTCCTTTTGGATGCCCCTCTGCTCTACTCCGGAAATTGTCCTCATGCGGAGCCTGCATGCGACTGGGACGCAGTGGTGTGAACAGAGCAAGTGGATGCTGCGTGGTTTCAGAGACGTATGTGCCCGGGATTGTGTCCTTACTCCACCTGTGTGTGGAGCAGATTGCCAGAGGGGCTGGATGATAAGGGAACGGATCCGTTATCAGGATGGTAGGAGGACTTACTGACAGCCTGCGACGCTCAGGTGGCACAGCCTTGCCCGCTGAGAAGTGCGGGCGACTGGACGCCCTGGCTGATGAAAATCAAAGTGCGCGGCCTTCACGGTGAATTACGGCGCGATGTCAAGAAGACCCGGGTCCTCACAGTGAACCGAGAGGTAGCCAACATCATGATGAATGGAGACCCGGTTGACGTCGCCCAGGATTTCATCTTGGATACATAGTCAGTGTCGTGGGAGCAGCAGTTGAGAGAGCGGCAAACACATTGCATCGGGCCAGTCTGCCGCACGAGACCGCCCTACAGTGGTGAAGAGCAAGGAGGTCGCTGTGAGGCCTGAGGGGCGCCCGAGCCAGCCAGGGTGTCGTCAGTCACCTCACATGCGTGTGAAAACTGGACGTTGCCTAAGGACGACAGAAGAAGAGTCGATGTTTGAGCTGTGGCGCCGGGGAAGACTGGAAGTCCCAAGGACGCAGCTAGAAGAACAAGCCATCTGTCTGGGAAGAAGTACGGCCAGAGTGCTCCTTAGAGGCAGCGATGGAGAGACTTCGTCTCAAGACTTTGGGTTTCATAGTTCTCATGGGATTTTCCCAGAAGGCCATCAGGATGTGAGCCCTAGCCTGCCACTCCCTGGGCCGGCATGACTTCACCTGGGGCTGGCATGACCTCACCTGTGTACACGTGTGTTGGCTGCTGCCTCTCAGGAACTGGAGGCGGGGGCGGGGCGCAGGTCGCAGTACCCTTTACTCAGTCCAGTGTGTGTTTTATTTCTCTCGTTCACTGGAGTCTGATTCAAAGTGTGTGTGGAAGCGCGCTCACTCTCTCCCTGCCGTCCAGTCCATGCTGACCCAGCAGCCCTGTAGGGCATAGTCCAACTGCCCCCTTGGGTTTCCGACAGGGTAGCACTTTATGGGAATAGAGAGCCCCTCTATCTCCCATGGAGCGGCTGGTGGTTTTGAACTGCTGACCTTACAGTTGGCAGCCTGACACATAACCACTACACCAAGAAGGGCAAGTTCTCATGAATTTTGTTGCATCAGAGAGCATTAAAGTTTAACCTAGGCTCAGCCAGGCCCGTCCTCCCATCTGTGTGCATGAGGGGAGGAGGGACAAGGAAAAACCAGGCTGGCGTCTGCAAAAAAGGGCCAGTTTCAAGGAGTCGGCGGACGCAGGGCAGCCCCATGAGTGTCCCCGGACCCCTTGGCTCCAGCCGCCGACAGATGGGGTAGGCCTGGCCTGTGTCACCCAGCTGCCTGGACAGGGACCATGGTGCGGGGCTGAGGAGGGAGGAAGTGGTCGCCGGCCCTCCAAGTGCAAACGAACCTCACCGAGCCGGCCTGACAGGCTCTGATTGATGAGAGGATGCTGCTAACAAGCCCTTGCAGTCTCATTAATGTGTTTTCCATTGAAAAAAAGCCACCAGGAAAAATTCCACCCGGACAGTAATGAAGATCGATCCTGTACAGTAAGAGGGCATGCATGTTGCTGGGAGCCTTTGCAAAGAATGGACAATAAAAAATAAAGAGGAATGTTCTGCAGCTCCTACAAACGCCTAACTCACAGCTGCCTCTGTGGGACCTGGGGAACCCCACACAGGGGGCGGGGACAGTGAAGGAGGCACGTTTGGGGGGTGTTAGGGGTCACCCACTGGGCCACAGCTCCCTGGCATCTGAGCGCAGCTATCAGCTCTGTTTTTCAGCTGACAGAAAGCCCGATGCCCTGGCGTGGTCTTGTAGGCTGGGGCGGGGAGGACGGTGGTGGAATATTACACAGACGGAAAGAGGGAGGCCCGGGTACAGGTTCTGCCCTGGCTGATGGAGAAAACACGATGCTGAGTGACAGGAGTGGGGGACAAAGGGACAGATGTCCTGTCCCCCTGCCCTCAGGGAGCATCCACACTAGGGCTGAGAATCAGGCAGGGTGCTGCGTTTCCATTTAGAGGGTTTAGAAATGGGTGGGGGTGACGGTACACCGGGGGAATGGTCCCTGCACTGTCCACGGAGAAGTTGTCCAAGGCACGGCTGGGGGTGACGGCCTTGACCACACAGCAATAAGGTGTTTTTTTAAGGCCGCAGGGAAGAGGAGGAGAGGACGGGTTTGAGAGAGAATCGGGTTATTCCTAAAGGCGGAGGC